GGCAAAATGAAGAAGAAAACTTCACACATAAACACACACACACAACAAACAACAAACATGAGAATAATTATTAGATGCATAAGAAACCGAATTTTTAACAATGACTCTTCGTTACGTCTAAGTGGTTATGGTGTTTTTCCGTTTTTTTCTCTCCATTTTTTTGTTCGCATTATTTCTACTTGTATTTTGGTACATTTTCATTAACGATTCTTCGTTTTTCCATTTCATTTTGTCAATTTTTGTTCGATCGAATTTTTATTTTCAATTCTTTTGTTCTTCAATTAATTTTTTTTTTTGGCAGACACAACTTGAGTACCTTTCCAATTTTTTCAATTTTTTTTACAAATCCAAATCTACTCACGGTTAAGTAAATTTCTTTTAAATATTCGTAGCCAACAGCAACATATTTAAACAATAATTCAATCATTGTGGTTTTACTTTTCAAGTGCTAACATTTTTATTAATGAACAAATATGTCTATTTATGTCGTTTTTATGCAAAATTCAAATTACAAAAGAAGAAAAATATTTTTTACAAAACAAAGAAGAAATCAAGATCGAAATACGTTTGAACAGGCTCATGTTGGTTCACAATCGCACCTGATAGGATGTATTCGAAGACACTTCAAAATGAGTTAAATTCCAAAAAATCAACAATTTCTCCTTCCAAAACAAGAAACCCAAATTGAAAATTCGATGTTAGTTTTCGTTGACGTAATTTTTCGATGAGCGAATCAAGAGGGGAACACGTTTTATGTTTCATATTCAACACCAAAAATCACTCCATTCGCATCAGTACAAAATGGGACAAAATTCAAAGAGTCAAAAAAATAAATAAATAAAATTTGCTGTGCCTTAGCATGTCGTTAAGTGATAAAAGTGATACAATGATTTTGACAAAAAAAAGGAGAACCAACAGAATTGTTTTTAATTCTATGAATCCGTACAAATAACAAACCTCTGATTCGCCATTGAACAAGAACGTTCGCTCATTTCTCTAGAAAACTATAAATTACACACTCATTTCCTATCAGGCGGCCAACAACAACAATCTGAACATTTGGCAAAATGAAATTAAAATGTTTGAATCAAAAGAATTTTTCGAGAGTTTTCATCATGTAAAATGTACTAAATCTGCATTGTAGTAGCTGGATAATGACTAAACAATTTAATAAGAAGTGAGACTGTTATTCCAATGTGATAAAAGAAAAAAATTGAATAAAAATTTATGTAATGAAAAAAAAAACATTCACACCATGGTCTTTATCTTTTCCAAAAAATTTGATTTTCAGGCTGCGCAGTGGGACCGCAGTGAAGCAACTGGGGTTGGTTCGATATGGGCAGACCGATAGTTTATCGCCTGGTAAATGAAATAATTTTTCGACATAAAAGCGATACGTTTATTTTTCGAAAATGCATGAATTTGTCATACACTAGCGTAAAAGCAGCTGGCGGTATTAGAGACTCCGCGACGTCTGGAACGTCGCTTAGATGACTAACAAAATGCCAATAATCACTATCATCATTTGAATTAACCAATAACCAACACTACCATAATAGAAAGTGCAATCAGCTGTGCTTGGAACTTTTCAAGTCCTTTCTTGAATTCTGATTCGCAACGGACTTGAACAACCTTGAGTATTGAATAATCGGTTGGTTTATCGGCATTCTATGGAAGAAAAAAAAAATACTGACATCAAAAACAAATGCGATATGAATATTTCTACGAAAATTACTATGTTCAGACTATCAATTTTTGGCCGACGGCTATATGATTCACAAGTTGATCATTACACTGCATTGAAAGTTGACGTAATCAACTATGTTTCGAGTCCAGTTGTAATCATTATCAAACAAAACAATTCCACAATGGAAAAAAGTCCCCCATATCGAACAATATTTTATCGAGATGAAGAAATCACATACGGAAAAGTCTCAATCACAACATGTCTGCAATCATACATATGTCTCATGTATCTTGTGCACACCTGAATGAGTTGTATCAGCTGTTGGAGACATACTGTAAACATAAACAAAAAAAAGCTTTCATAAGCTTCGAAAATCAACTTGAAAACAAAACACAAAACACGTCATTGAGAAATAGTTTCATATTGCAGCCATTGTAAATTATCCCCCCGAAAAATTTGCAATTGTACACACACTCAACTGATAAAGCCAGTTGGGTACAATTCAATTTTTCCGTTTATAATGAAAAAAAAAACAACAACACCATAAACTTAAGATATAAGCCGTTTAGGTGCAATGGAATGAGGAACAGCCGTGGGGTCTATACGTAGCCACAAAACCTAATCTATGTGTTTGATAGTGAATCGTAATGTTGAAAAGCTAATTTCGGAAATTCACCGTGAACACACACCATATTGGCGGAAAGTTTTTGATATTGTTGGGGAATTACACATTTATACTAAATACTGGTCCAGAAAATGCTTCTGATTGAGGCCAACACCTCAAACGAGTCTTCTTTCATTAGTAATCGTTATCTATCGTCGATTCGCCTAAAATCTAGGGGGATTTCTCACGAAAAAAATGAATGAATTCTTATAAATTTTGAAAAATTTCTTCAATTCGGTCCGATTCAATCAATTTTTGTCAATTCGTGTAAATAAATGTACATTTACACTGAACTTTTGAATTATGCTTCAATGAAATTGTTCTGGAAGTGGGTTTTGGTGGATCTCAAGGATCGTTCAGAACTGCTCCCGGTTCTGGAAGTGGATCTTCAGGATGGGCCAGGGCAATGTCAAACTGGATCTGGTCCATCCTGAGGATCCACCAAAACCCACTTCCAGAACACTTTTATTCAAGCAAAATCGTCATTTCAGTACATTTTCATACAATTTCAATAAAAAAGAAGAAATAATAGAAAATTTTGCACATTTGCTCAAACAAAAAGTTTGAGAAATCCCCCTAGCCTAAAATAGGCTATGCTAACGTCATGATTACGAATACATGAATCAAAACAATAATAACATGTTCGAACTTTCGAGGCGATAAAGAAAAAATACGGAAAAACCGCACCATTTTAATGTATAAATATTATGCTGATAGTGTACTAGTAGTAGTTCACAGGCGTCTAATTGAATGTCATTATCATATAAAAATGGTTTTAATTCCAACGAAATATTATCTTGTTGCAGACACCGTATGAATATGTTTGTTTTTAATGTTTTCGTCTTCAATTAAACAACGCTGGACTGAATGAATGGTAATCTTGTGCAATTTGCCATCACATGCAGTGCGTATCTACTATTAATTTTCCACGTGATTTTCGAAATCGCTTATCAAACGTCACGTTACTACTCTAATGATTCCCGGCTCTACTATCTCATATCGTGTTTGATATTTGTAGACCTTGGCCAAACCACATCAAGTACAACACTGTGAGTGTGCTTTTGTATAAATACGATGGGCAACCTTTTCAACAGCATCAGAACGGTAAGTTCATCGAAAGGTGATAGACTACACTGAATAATTATTGAATCATTTGCTTCTCACCCGGAAGAAAAGCCGATCGACGAAATAAAAGTTTAAAACAATTTTAATTTCATTCATATAATTTGTACCAGTATCAATTGATTTGGTAATAGTAAATAGAGTCAATTGCTAATTACATTCAACATGTATAACAATATATTGACTTGCGCACTGATATTATGTGTATGGCTGCAGCCATTGCATGCTGCGACCAAAAGACAAGCTACCTACGGTTCACCCGTGCAAGCCGCGGGAAGTCCTAATTCGCCATCGTTTACCTTGACAAATGAACAACAAGCCAGTTTGCCACCAATTCCATTGGACATTTATCAAGACTCACTCCTTCCAACGGTAAGGGTTTTTTGCGATTTTTGTTTTTTGCATTTTCATTTTTTTTTAACCAAAAAAGTTAATTTCGATTTCAATCAATTGAATTCCACTTTCATTTTTGTTCAATCAAAAACTTGATCGATTGGAAAATTCAAAAGTGATCATTTGTTCAAAAAAAGAAAAAAAATCGTGACAATAAAATCATGTTATACGTGTTATATTAATAAATTCGTCCTTATTCATGTTCATCAACAGCCTTTGTTGCCATTCAAACATGGATACGTAACCGAAATACATCGTGTTGTAACACCCGATGGTTATATCTTAGAGGTGCATAGAATTGTTTCGTCTCCACTTCGAAGATCGTCCAAGGCGCTGAAACCAGTGGCTTTTCTACAACATGGATTCCTTGATTCGTCGGCCACTTGGGTCATGTCTGGACAAGAACACGGATTAGGTTATGCTTTGGCCGATGAAGGCTACGACGTTTGGTAAATAACGATTACTAATGTTTGATGTACCGTCAATTTTGTATATGAAGAAGACTCGTTTATATATAATGGTTTTAATTAAAGGATGGGTAATGGACGTGGCAATGTTTATTCACGCAAGCACATATTGTACGATCCCGATGGCAGTCGGTCAGATCGTGAGAAATTCTGGAGCTTTTCTTGGCACGAAATTGGCATGGTTGATCTGCCATCGATGATCGATTACGTGCTAAACGCAACCGCACAACCAAACATGTTTTACATAGGTATATATTATTATAGATTTGAATTCATAAATTGAATTGATAAATTGAAGAATTGACAGGACATTCGCAGGGGACAACTGCCTATTTCGTTATGTGCTCCGAACGCCCTGAATACAATGCAAAAATCAAGGTTGGTTTCTAAATTGGCATATCGTCCTAAAAGTACAGATAAACCTTAGCACTAGCAATCTGTGCCATTTTTCATAAGGCGTCTCCACTCGCATTGAGTTTGTATTGTGAATGTTAAGGTGCGTGCAATGCCCTTCAATGTAAAAAACAATACAAGTGGAGTTGATACACGGGATTTATCTGTACTTTTGTGCTCTTTCGATCTATGATGAAAAAACAATACCTCAATAACACATTATTTTGAGATAGTTCACTATTCTTACCGTTTTTACTTTCCAGATGATGCACGCCCTTGCACCGGTTGCTTATATGAATCACGCAGTATCACCTGTGGTGCGATTGGCTGAATTGGTTCCAACCGCTCTACAGGTAAGTTCATGGAATAAAATTGTTGAAATAACAATGCGTTATGCTTTTCATAGATTTTGAGAACAATTCGAGATATGATCGAATTTTTTGTTCCACAGAGAGTGGCCGAAATGTTGGGTGCATATGAAATTCTACCCTCGATGGACTTATTCAAATTGCTCGGACAGCAATTGTGCCGGGACACGTCACCAATCATTGCAATCTGTGAAAGTGTGCTATTCTTGATCACCGGCTTCAACGAGAGAAATTTAAATGCCGTAAGTACTTTGATTGGTCATTATGGAATCTTTTCTTAAGTCATTATCCGCTCTTTTTATGATCATGTTATTATGAATTGTGGAACAAAAAATACCCGGTTCATTGTGGATAATATTTCAATCATCATTAAAAATAGGAATTAATCATTTGTTTTTGTTTTTCTTTTCACAACAGACATTATTCCCAGTGTATTTGTCACACACTCCAGCTGGAGCGAGCACTTATCAACTTGTTCACTTTGTCCAAGAAGCTCAATCGGGACGCTTCTGTCAATTCGATATGGGCACACCACAGGATAATATGCAAAAATACGGCAATCCTACACCGCCAGAGTACAATTTAGCAAATGTCAGGTCACGTGTTATTTTGCACTACTCGGATAACGATTGGCTCAGCTCACCAATTGATGTCCGAAGACTTCACAAAAATCTACCGAACGCCGAAATGAATCACATTCCAGATGAGAAATTCGAACACATGGATTTCGTATGGGGCATTGGTGCTAGATCCGTTTTGTATGAACCCATTATTGCTTCGATGAAACTTTTCGATAAACTCGTCGGCATGCAAACAATCGCCAAAAATCTAGTCAACTATCAACAAAATTATTTGTGAATTTTTGTTATTGTCAATTTCATTAATATTTTGTTAAGATTTCAATTAGTGATTGCATTTTCATAGTTCCCATTTTTTTGTTAAGACAATCTTAATCAGTACGTACTTATTGTTAAATTCCTAAGAATTCTTACTTGGTTAGATGATCACATCAAAACTCTTTAAACTTAGGTTTGAATTCTGTTCTCGTTGTTGATAGTTTTTTAAATTGTTCAGCAATTAATTTTCTACTATTTATTTCATTCGAGTGCCATTTTCATAGTAAGTTTATTATTGATTAATAAAAATTACGTATATTTGATATGATTTGATGAAAATTACGTTTTCAATGTGTTTAAATTATTTTAAAAATACATTTTTAAACACCATAGTTTCCTTGTTCAATCAGAATCAACATCAAGTTGGCTTGATCAACATAGTGTGAGCGTGTGGGTAGTAATTTCTCCTGGCATTCACTTTTTTGTTCCTTCGTTGAAGCGATCGAATTACACGTATTCGAATGTGGTGAAATGCGCCGCTCTTGATTTGTGAGTGTCGTTTCGTTTCCATGTTAAAACTGTGTTTGTTGCAGGAAATAGGAGAGTCAAATGTCACATACGAGCATTTGAGTCGAGAGAGCACAATTGAATGCACAATTCAAAGTGAGTCGATTGGTTGCGTCGCTCTCGATTAATTTGTCATGTGAACCACGCACACACTCTGCCAACGATAATACGATAATCGCTGGCTTAAACCGCTTTGAAATACGCTGATGTGATGTCAAGTGCCTGCGTCTGGTGTGTTTCTGTTAAAATCAGCCAGAGGAAAAAAACCGAAATTCTCAAGCAACTCGGAGTGACTTTTTTTACGATCCATTTATCGTGTTACGTGTTCAATGAATACGATTGAAAGAAAATCATTGACGAAAATGAAAATCATATTTCCCGGCTCGATCATAAAAATGCCACTGGTTGTAAAATGTTGCTTCTTCTTCTTCTTCTTCGCCTTTAATTAGATGGAAAACGTTATTCAATGCGACAAATTTAAGTGGAATTCCCATTTGTGCATTCCATTTGCAGTTGCATCGTAAAATGTCAATTATTACTGTTAGACGAAAGATAAACTGTCTTGTCGTCTTGTTGTCGCACGAATGCATAATTGGTAAGATTAGTTTTTCCCTCGTACATTCGAATGCATACCGTTTGTGCGTGTGTTTGTGCAAGGTGTGCAATTGAACTGATTCAATCGGTTGAAACAAGTGAATGAAATAAACATAGATAAATCGCATTTTTGATGAGCGGGATTCCTTGAATTGGGTATTTGTGATCAAACGGCGTTTTGAACATGTGTCAAAAGGCGAGTTGAATAAATTCGCCGACGAAATGCCAACACATACGAATCACATATCCGGAAACAATTCAACACTGATTTGTATTTGTTTTCATTTTTGTTTATGAGTGTTTTTTTTTATCTGTGCACTCCACGTCGCTCACTAATTTCCATACCAAGAATTTCATCGTTTGAGGAATTTTGACTCGAAGCCACCAGCATAAAATATTAACTTTGATAGATCAATTGTGCATGATGGGTTGAAAACAAAGAACCTTTCCATTTGCTGGTTGTTCTTTATTTTTTGATGGTTTTTTTTTTCTTTTCATCATGTAAACAAACCATTGGAGCAAAGTGAAAGACGAGAAGACCCACCATCAACAACAGAATAATAAATTGTAGTTGGTGCGTTGTTGTTTTGGTTATTCTTCAGTTCTTGTTCGGATATTTTATTGGTTGACGAGTGTTAAATGCAGGAGAGATAGAGAGAAAGAACAAGTGTTGGTCGCGCACAAGTTTCGATGATATTTCCATAATTTCACCTCACGTACATTTGAGCGCATTTCCAGTTAAAAAAAAAAATAACAAAAAAAAATCCTCATCTAACGATGATCGCAGTGTGCCTTACCCGTCTTCACTCCATTCCGTTTATACCGTGGCCGTTTTTATTTATTCAGAATATGGTAATTTCACTCGAGCTGTCTGTTTAGCCTTTTGTTTTATTGCTCTGAACAATAAAATTGTCAATTAATTATAATACCTGGCATTTCTTGCATCTTCTAACAACAAAAACATATAAATTTTACGTGATGGAATCCCACGTTCGTCGACCATCCTATCCAAAATTCTCGGTTCATTTATTTGTCATATTATTTATGATTTTTCTCCACTTATATTACAAATCAAATCAAAACGAGAATTTTTATTGGGAAGCGCTTTTGGACTGCTTAATGTCGACTTTCGTCTCGGGGAGGAAGGTATTGGATTTTGTACGGATTTATTATATTGATTATTATAGCTATTGTTTGCCAAAAAAAATAACGCATTTTTCCCACGTACTGTCGAATCAAAAAAAAAATCTCTACTCAAATCCGCAATCAAAACATCGCAATGCCAACAACAAACCCTTTTCTCGCAATTCTTATCCAACAATGATGGTTCGAGAAAATATTCTCAACCTTTCGTCAGTGTTCCGTCAGATTTATTTTTAGTTTTTATTTTCATTTTATATTGAGCTTAAATTTTATATTATTTTTATCTCAGATTTTATGCTGTTTCATATAAATGTGGATGTGATAACGATATGGCTTCTGTTACACCACAAATTAAAAATGTTGTTTCACAACAAAATAAATCGGTCCAAGATAACGGTCAATATTACGTCTGGTTTTAATTTAAATGAGTACAAACACGAGTTCTACTCATCGGCTCACAAACACACACGAGATACGAAAGATCTAATCTCCGTGTGTGTATCGGTCATAAACCGCATATTTAAACATTTGAAATTTGGTGTGCAACTTTTCGGGAAGCTCTACCAGTCAGCCAGCCCAAAAAAAACAGATTATCAAAACAAAACTAATCAAGTTAAACATTATTTATCTTTATTGCATCGATGTGTGGATGATGCAAAAGTGATAGATCCGACCGATATGGGTTTATGCGATTCGAGAGAAAGAGAAAGAGAGTGAGAAAATCACGGGCCAAATGGAAACGGACAAATCCGAGCAAAGATCCTTTTTTCTGTTGATACGCAACGTACTTTGTTTGTGTAAGAGTATTTGGTCCTTTCGATTCGACCTAGATGATGCATGTGATTTGGTTGGTGTGATTGCCGGCACTGCGTGTGTGTACATTGTGCATGTGTGTTGGTATGGCGCGCATTCGGTAGGAGAGCTTGTATTACATGGTGCATTAAGGAAAATATTAGAGCAACCTACGCCGCTAGGTAGAACGTGTGTATGTTTGGATCGATGAATGTTGTGTTGTTTTTTCGTCAATAATTTTTTTCCGTTTTCGTTTTGATTTTCTCCTTCGCGTCTCTTTCTCTCGCTCCCTCTCTCTCTCTCTCTCTCTCTCTCTCTCTCTCTCTCTCTCTTCGGTGGATATGTTTTTCGGGTTTTTCGGCCGTTTAAAATCTAGTTCGTCTGTCTCGTTGCATTTTTTGGTTTTGGTCGATCGAGTTGAATTGCCTGGATGTTAACCTATGTGTTTTTATGTGTATTCATCTATACTTCTTCGGCTACGTACGTACTACACTGTCGATGCAACAAATGTGATATGTTACGGTTGTCGTTGTTTTCATTTCGGTGGTGTGGTGCAGTGTCTGTCAGAATGCAATCAATACCTTTTTGCGAGCGTGGGAACCGAATTTGTTTTTCCCTCTCGACTCTCGTTCGGCTGCCATCAGAAACACTGCACTTTTTCATGTTCTTCCATTCTATGCGTATACTCTTCAGACTATGCTCAGCAAAGGACTGAAGATGGTTTGTTGTTTTTTTCTTCTCTCTCTCGCTCGGTGTGTGTAGGCAACTTTGTTTTCATTTTTGGGGTGTGTTTTGATTTTTGAATAAGCCGAACGCACTGAATACGATTAATGATTCTACGTTTTTTTCTTTCTATTGCGTTTTGTTGTGCGTTTTTTTCTTCGCTCTCTCTCCCTCTCTCTCTCTCTCTCTCGGTACAATCGATGCATTTTTGGGTTTATGTGTGGAGGATTGTCGAATCGATGAACACAAAGCGTAAAAAAAAAGAAAATTGGAGCGCTTTTTGTTCGATGTTTCGTTTGAAAAAGGATATGTTCGTTGGTTTTATGCATTCCATTTTTTTCTTCGGTCTTTCATTCGTTTCAAGTGTCGATGTACACCAAATTATATGTATAGATAGAGATGGAAGGAAAAAATGTGACCGTTATTTCTTTAAAAAAAATAATCAATTTTAATTTTATGTCGCTATGCACTTTTGCCTCGTAAAGCCATCATGAGCGCTTTGGCTTTGGGAACCATCTCATAATTTTTCATAGCCGTTAAGACATTTCCTCTCTTTTCTTCCCATTTATTTTGGGATGGAAATGTTTCATTTTGTCCGTTGGTCGCGCGGCAAACGTATGATTGGTGACAAATTCTTGTTTAATGAATCGGTGTACTGGAATAAGACTAACGCAAAGATTAAGATTGAACCATTTGCACATTGCTCGACTACAGAGTAAACCGATCTGCCGACACTCAATCGAATTTGCTATCAATGAAAATCAATACTTAGTTAATGTGTTTCAACGGGAATGCTTGGCTTCTAATCCCTTTGATACCGATCTGATACCGTTAATGACTTTCATCTTTCGTTCCGAACACCAACCGAAGAAGAGAAAAAAATTAATAATGAAAATTGTTGCGAAGCAAAAAATCAAACGTAACGACCTGAATCTTAATCCAATGTTTAATCCCCTTTCACGAAAAAGAAACCGATTGTGAAATTTCAATTTTGTGATCGGCACCGAAGAAGTGAATTCGTAATGCAAACTCAATCTAAATCTAAGCAGGTAGAAATGAAGAGAAAATTGCGCCATTTTTTCTCTTTATCTCGTCATTACACGCGGTGCGTGTGTTTGTTTTGGAATTCTCCTTTTGATTCTATACACAACAACACACATGTTTTTCTGTTCATTGTTCATACGCATAACAAAAAAAGAGGACAATTTTTATTAAATCCGCTCTAAATAAACAGACTGG